TGGAATCAACCTAAAAGCCCATCAGTGGTAGATGGGATAATGAATATGTGGTACACATACAACATGGAATACTACACAGCCATAAAAAGAATGACATTATGTCCTTTGCCACAACATGGATGGATCTGGAGACCATTATCCTAAGCAAACTAATGCAGGAACAGAAAACCAAATACAATATATTCTCACTTAAAAGTGGGAGCTAAACAACAAGAATGCATGGACACAAAGAAATAACAGACCAAAGAAATACCACAAAGAAATAACAACCCTACTTGAGGGTAGAGGGTTGGAGGACGGAGAGGATCAGAAAAAAAAATACCTGTTGAGTCACCCAGATACTATGCTTATTATCTGGGTGACTAAATAATCTGTACACCAAACCCCTGTGGCATGCAGTTTACATAACAATCCTGTACCTGTACCCCTAAACCTAAAATAAAATTTTTTTTAAAAAGCTCTAAAAATGTCTAGTACACAATAGTGCTTATTATAACATCACACACAAAAGCCAAAAGGAGAAAACAACCCAGGTATCCATCAATGGATGAATAGATAAACAAAATGTGATCTATTCAGCTAAATGGAAGGAAATTCTGACACATGCTAGAACATGGATGAACCTTAAGGGTATTATGTTAAGTGGTGATGGTTGTATAACAATATGGATATATTTAATTGCACTGAATTATACAAGGTTTCCCTCTATTGTTCAGGCTGGAGAGTGGAGGCGTACAATTTCAGCTCACACAGCCTTGACCACCTGGGTTTAGGTGATCCTCCCACCTCAGCCTCCCAGGTAACTGGGACTACAGGCATGCACCTCCATGTCTGCCTAATTTTTTGTATTTTTAGAGAGACAGGGTTTTGCTATGTTGCCCAGGCTGGGCTCAAGCAATTTGCCTGCCTTGGCCTCCCAAAGTGTTGGGATTACAAGGGTGAGCCACTATGCTTGGCCTATTTTACCACAGTTTAAAATAATAATTAAAAAAAATCTTAATCCCAGCACTTTGGGAGACCGAGGCAGGCGGATTACTTGAGACCAGGAGTTTGAGACGAGCCTGGCCAACCTGGGCTGGATGTGGTGGCCCATGCCTGTAATCCCAGCTACTCAGGAGGCTGAGGCACAAGAATTGCTGGAACCTGGGAGGCAGAGGATATAGTGAGCCAAGATCGTGCCACTCCACTCCAACCTGGGCGACAGACCTAGACTCTGTCTCAAAAACAAAAACAAAACTGTATACACACATACAAACAACCTATTTTGATTACATTACTTTAGCTCTCCATAGAAATGACTTCACAAAATGCTGTAATATAATATTTTTGTATTTTTAACAAGATCAGTAAGATAGTGATTTGAAGACAATTTTGGCTGGGTGCAGTGGCTCACGCCTGTGATCCCAGCATTTTGGGAAGCCAAGGCAGTTAGATTGCTTGAGGTCAGGAGTCCGAAACCAGCCTAGCCAACATGGTGAAACCCTGTCTCTACTAAAAATATTTTTAAAAATTAGTCAGGCGTGGTGGCGGGGACCTGTAATCCCAGCTACTTGGGAGGCTGAGGCAAGAGAATCGCTTGAATCCAGGATGTGGAGGTTGCAGTGAGCCAACATCATGCCACTGCACTCCAGCTTGGGCAACAAGAGCAAAACTCTGTCTCAAATTAATAAATAAATAAATAAAAGGCAATTTATGCATCTTATGTTTATGAGAGTCGCTTAATTCAATTTATGGCTATTGGTGACAATGTACGTTGTACTGTTAAATGTCCAAGTGATATAGTCTCCCTTGACTTTGGTTTTAGGCAAATTTGCTTTCATGGTGAATTGCTGCCTGCTTTCTCTATAACAAGACCTCTATTTACTTTTCTGCTTTGACTGGCAGGAACTGAGACACCTTTTATGCTGAATTGTGGTTATTAGCCGGTCAAACCTTGGAGAATCATTAACCATCATTAAATAAATTCCTGTTCCTATTCACTTTTGAACACCTTGAGTGAAGTGGCTTAGTTGGATTATAGCATCTGCAATTGACACTGCTGGCCTTTGTGACTTTGGACCATGTTTTTCTGTCCAAAATGCCTTAACAGCGTGACTGTCTTGCCATGCCCCATTTCTAGAAAATGATTTCCTGTATCTTTGAGGTTTCTTCAAGATCTTTGCAAATGCATTTTATATATGCCACATTGCTTGGGCTTTAAATTAGATAATCTCAATCATATCTTTCAAATTTGGTTTTAAAATATCCTTCCACATGTTCTCTACTGGTGTAGTATTAGATAAAACCAAAACCAAAATTTTATTTTTGATATAGGTAATGCTCTCTATTTAAACACTATAGCCCTGGTCCCTCAATCACTAGGTTCCACATTTTGGCACTATTTTTTTTTAAAAAGCTCTTAGTTTCTTCCCTTGAATATCGAATCAGGTGTCAAATTCTATAGTTTTTATTTTTAAAATTATTTTTACATGTGATAATTCCTTTCTAACCTCAATGTCATATTCTCCCATCTTTCTTCTTCAGATCTTTGTAATTACCCCACTACCTGGATTATTGCAATCTCCTTCCAACAGGATTCTCTCTCACACCTATCCTCTGCACAGTCAGTTCTCTATGCTGTTGTCAGATCCATCTGCCCAAAGCATAACTCCTTTGTCTTCACTCTTGGCATTTGTAGAGGACTTCCGCGATGTGCCTCAAGCCAAGGGTCTGGTCTAATTACCATTATTCCTCTTGGCTTAGCCTAGCCAAACTGAACCACTCACTATCCCTGCAACATGCTCTGCATTTTCTCATCTCAATGCTTTGGTTCATATTGTTAGGTCTTAGCGGAAAGTGCTTCTACCCATCCCAACCTCAATCTCTGCCAGTCAAGAAATACTATCCATCTTTGATATACAGCCTCCATAATTAAACTTTTCTTGATTCTTTCCAAAGATCTGTCTCTCCTAGTTTTAACCTTCCCCCTGCTTTTTATATCTGGACATCTCTTGTGGCAACAAGCATATTCTTCATATTAAACTTATTTATGTATGTCTCTCTCCTACATAAGCTCCTAAGGTAATGAACCATAGCTCGTTATTTGCTTACCTTTATGTTACTTTATGTTTTCTGCTGGGATCATTGTACCGAATTCCAAAGGTACTCAAAAGTATTTAGTTAATTGAAATTGGAATAAATCCAATACTGACAACATATTCCAAGGAAAAAAAATCAAAGGGAGTTTTTATAAAGAGCACTATTTGTGGCCGGGCGCGGTGGCTCACGCCTACAATCCCAGCACTTTTGGAGGCTGAGGCGGGTGGATCACGAGGTCAACAGAGCAAGACCATCCTGGTCAACAAGGTGAAACCCCGTCTCTACTAAAAATACAAAAATTAGCTGGGCATGGTGGCCTGCGCCTGTAGTCCCAGCTACTCGGGAGGCTGAGGCAGGAGAATTGCTTGAACCCAGAAAGCAGAGGTTGCGGGAGCTGAGATCGCCCCATTGAACTCCAGCCTGGGTAACAAGAGCGAAACTCCGTCTCAAAAAAAGAAGAAGAAGAAAAAAAGAACACTGTTTGCATAAAAATATTTACTCAGAACAGCAATATAAAATAAACAATTAAAAAAATTCAACAATAAGGGAGTGGTCAGATAAATTAAGGTAGGGCCCAAATCAAATTCTCCTGGACCTGGCCCATAGGAAGTATTTAATATTTATTAAATGAATGGTATACCACTGTGTTGCAATATTATTTAAACAGGTGCATGTGAAATCAGGTTAAGGAAAAAATAACTTTCACAAAACATAGGAATTACATCTGTAGAAAACCTCTGAGGCTGGACTTGGTGGCTCAGGTCTGTAGTCCCAGCACTTTGGGAGGCAGGGCCAGGAGGATCGCTTGAACCCAGGAGTTCCGAGGCCAGCCTGGGCAATACAGTGAGACCCTAGTCTCTACAAAAACTATGTTTTATTTTTTATTTTATTTTATTTTGAAACGGAGTTTCGCTCTTGTTACCCAGGCTGGAGTGCAATGGCGCGATGTCGGCTCACCGCAACCACCGCAACCACCGCAACCACCACAACCTCCGCCTCCTGGGTTCAGGCAATTCTCCTCCCTCAGCCTCCTGAGTAGCTGGGACTAAAGGCACGCGCCACCATGCCCAGCTAATTTTTTGTATTTCTAGTAGAGATAGGGTTTCACCATGTTGACCAGGATGGTGTCGATCTGTTAACCTCGTGATCCACCCGCCTCGGCCTCCCAAAGTGCTGGGATTACAGGCGTGAGCCACCGCGCCCGGCCCAAAAAAACCTATATTTTAAAAATTAGCTAGTGGTGCGCGCCTGTAGTCCCAGCGACTCGAGGCCACCATTCCTGCCTGGGGTACTAGGTGAGACCCTGTCTGCGAAGTGAGGGAAAGGGGAAGGGGAGGGAAGAGGAGAAGGGGAGGGGAAAGAAGAAGGAGAAGGGAAAGGGGAAGAGGAGGAAAAGAAAACCTTATGGAGGTACCTTAATAATCAGAAGGGGCCAGAGGAAGCCACCTGACACATTTGTGAGAAAATGTAAAAGGTGTCCTCGTACATTCTCACTTTGATACTCACAACAACACTGCAAAGTGCGCACGGAAGGTATTAACTCCATTTTACAGGTAAGGAGATCGACCCACTGAGGTCAGGAGTGACTGACCAAGGCGGAGCCAGGACTCTAGCCCCCGCCTCCCGGCCGCCGGTCCGGGTCTCCTTCCGTGCCCCACTCGGCCACCGTCATTTGTGTCGAGAGTTTCGGTTCCCTTTTCTTTGATTGTAGTTCCTTTTTTTTTGGTGCCGTGACTCGGATACGAGATCGTAGTACTTATGCAAAACGAACCCAGACACTTGCGCGGCCGGAGAGGGGCAGGTGCCGGGCGGCGGCTGACGGGCACAGCACCCTAGGCCCAGTGTCAGACTCCGGCCCCGCATCCGGCTCTGGCCCGGCGACAATAGAGTCCGGAAGTGCAGGCAAATAGGCTTCCCCCGGGAGCGCCGCGCTGTCCCGCCCGGGATCAGCAAGGGCCGCGCCCCGGCGGGCAGGCGGCATGGCTGCAGTGCTGGCTCTCAGGGTGGTTGCGGGGTTGGCGGCCGCTGCGCTAGTGGCCATGCTCTTGGAGCACTACGGCCTGGCCGGTCAGCCCTCGCCGCTGCCCGGCCCCGCGCCCCCGAGAAGGCCGCACCCGGCGCCAGGTCCCGGAGACACCAACATCTTCTGGGGCCTGCAGGTGACGCGGCTGGAAGCTGGGCGCGGGGCGGGTGCAGAGCAGGCTACTTGCCGTGAGACCCTGGTGGGTGTTGGGCCCCACTCTCCAGGCTGGCGGCTTCATTCAGGTTGTAACTCGAGGTTCTATCTAGTGCCGGCGCTGTCCTTCCCTGGGGGTTCGTTATGCATTGCCTCTTTGGCTTTTCCTTCTGCCTGAGAGAGCCGCTGGGCTGCTCCTCCCCATGCTGACTCAGATCTCTCTGTTCAATACCCGTTTTCGGCAGATATCCGACATTCACCTGAGCAGGTTTCGAGATCCAGGCAGAGCGGTAGACTTAGAGAGGTTCTGTTCTGAAACTATTGACATCATTCAACCAGCTCTCGTCCTAGCAACAGGTAGGGAGGCTTGCCATGCTGTGGTGGTGGTCTGTGGTCCGGATGGTAGAACGCTAGCCAGGGCTGTGGCTTTTCACTTTGGGGACATTGGGAGCACTATAGCCACAGCCTCAGATGAGCCCTGTGAGGTGGAAGAGATTGAACATTATAATTCCCTTTGCCTATGGATAACTGAATGAGTCAAGATCCAGGCCCAATGATTTGCTGTAGCAAGGTTTTGTCAAAGCAGTAGAAGCAAGGCTCCTGGTTCTCATATCAGTCTGTTGTCTGATATATTTGTATCCGTTTGCTGTTGTTATAATTCTAGTTGTGAGAATTAGGGGAAAGACTATAACCAAGAATCAGTTTTCTTCTTTTGCTAACTTTTCAATTTTCTTTACATTTTAAATCTTATGTTTTCAGTTGTTTGAGACTTCTGGTGACTCAGGGCACTTTTTCTTCATCCCTTGAAGTTTTATGACTTGAGTTTTCTAGACTCTTCAAACCCTTTATTTGCTCCCAAACTGGAGTGGGGAGAAGAAGCTAAAGGAGCATCTGTCTATCTTGCTTACTGGGGGGTTCATCACCCATCCACCTTACTGAAGCATCTCTGCTGACATGAAAGGGTATCAGTTCTCATTTAATGAATGAGCCCCCATAAAAAGTGTTCTGTTTAGTTCCCTATACATTTTGGTATTTTGTTGTCCAGTTGCACCTGCCACATTGCTTCTTGCTGTAAAAATAATACTTGATCAAATTTCATATTCTGATTTTGTGGTTTGGAAAATATGGTTGCCATGGATATTAGACACCCACCCAGGGTATTGGAATTTCTTATAAAACATTTTCATTTTATGAGATTCTGTTAATGCATCTTGTACTGTTCTCCTTAAAGATTTTTTAGATGCTGGTCCGAGTGCAGTGGTGTTTACAACTAATTGATTACAACCAGTTACAGATTTCTTTGTTCCTTCTCCACTCTCACTGCTTCACTTGACTAGCCTAAAAAAAAAAAAAGAAAAGATATTTTTTAGACAACCCATTTCTAATATCACAAGAGGTTAAACAGGCATTCACTAACCTATAAGAAACAAAGCGCTTGCTGAGAAAATCTTGTTAGTTTAGACGGCTTGCGTTGGATATTGGTGGTCTCATGAGCAGTTATGCTTATGCATATTGAGTACTTTAAGTATTGTTGTTCCTTTGGTGTACATATCTAAAAAAATTGAACCCCCGGGAGTTTATTTTGCATTGTGATTCAGTTCTTGTCACAACGCAAAAACCTACAGGAGACCTGACAGATGCCAAAACAAAGGAACAACTGGGATCCAGGCAGCATGAAGTAGAATGGCAAACCTACCAGGGTATTCTGAAGAAGACAAGAGTCATGGAAAAAACCAAGTGGTTGGATATAAAAGGAAATCATGGTAAGAGTTAAGAGCCAAATATAATAAAGACTAGATTTTTTTTCCCCCCTTCAAGAACCTGGATTTTCCAACTTAGATTGTAAAATTATAAAATGGGACGTTGTAACATAGGTTTACATATACTAAAGGTCACAACTCTGAAATACAACTATATAATGTGGTTTTAAAACATCAGATGTCATTGTTAGCCTTTGAGATGACAATTAGTATGGTCGTTTTTTTGTGTGACATATGTTGCTTCTTATTTTAAAAACTTATTATTTATACTTTAAGTTCTGTGATACATGTGCAGAATGTGCAGGTTTGTTACATAGGTATACATGTGCCATGGTGGTTTCCTGCACGCATCAACCGATCATCTACATTAGGTATTTCTTCTAATGCTATCCCTCCCCTTGCTTCCCACCCCTGGTCCTTTCTTCTTTATGTGGAAGAAACATGAGTTTTAGCAAAACTCATACAGATAGATATCTTAAAATATATATATTTTATTAAGTGAAAGAAGCCAAACCCTCTCAGTCTGCATACTGTATGATTTCGTTTATATGACATTCAGGAAAAGGTAGAACAATAGAGAACAGATTGTAGTTGCCAGAGGATAGGGATTGGGAGAGATATTGACAGCAAAGAGGCATCAATGGAGAGTTTTTGGTGGTGATGGAATTAGTCTTATTTTGATTGTGGTGGTGGACTTCAGGTTCTCTATATATTTGTCAGAATCCATAGAACTGTAAGTCACAAAGAATGACTTTTACTCCGTGCAAATTTAAAAAATTTTTATTTCTTCTTTTTAAAATTTATTATTATTATTATTATTTTGTGAGATGGAGTCTCTGTCGCCCAGGCTGGAGTGCAGTAATGCAATCTCAGCTCACTGCAACCTTTGTCTCCTGGGTTCAAGCGATTTTCCTGCTTCATTTTTCTACGTAGCTGGTATTACAGGCATGCACCACCATGCCCAGCTAGTTTTTTTTTTTTGTATTTTTAGTAGAGACAAGATTTCACCATGTTGGCCAGGCTGGTCTCAAACTCCTGACCTCAAATGATCTGCCCACCTCAGCCTCCTAAAGTGCTGGGATTATAGGTGTGAGCCATCATGCCTGGCTTATTATTATTTTTTTAAGATAGGATCTTGCTGTGTCATTTGGCCTGGAGTGCAGTGGTGTTAGCATAGCTCCCCGCAGCCTTGGCCTAAGCTTAAATGATCCTCCCACCTCAGCCTCCAAAGTAACTGGGACTACTGTACCTGGCTAATTTTTGAAGCTTTTTTTGTGAAATTGGGGTCTTGTTATGTTGCTCAGGCTGATCTTGAACTCCTGGCCTTAAGTGATCCTCCCACCTTGTTCTCCCAACGTGCTGGGATTATAAGTGTAAGTCATTGCACCTAACCTAAATATTTTAAATTGAAAACAAATCTCCACAGACATGAACAGGAAAATAGATAATCCTTTCCCTTTTTAAAATTATCATTGTGTTGGTAAGGAAATGAACTCCAGAAGAGTCCTGATAGTAGTAGATTTGTTTAATTTATAAAGGTTGACTTTTTTTATTAGATAAGTATTACATTTGTCTACTTTATTTGATCAGTAGATCAGGCATGAATCCACTTCTTGCTTTATTGCTGGCTTTTAGAACCACAAGATTAAAACAAGAGCAACTACAGTTTAATATTATAATTTCAAATTGATATTCTGAATGGTATAGAATTCAAAGTACCTGTTTTTCTCTAGTATGCTAGGTGCCTTAAATAAGTTTCTAGATAATGTGAATTTTGTTAAGATATCAAAATTTTAAAGTAGCAATCTAATTGGTAGGCATTCTACCACTAAAAGTGTTACAGAGGCTGGGCATGGTGGCCATGGCTGTAATCCCAGCACTTTGGGAGTGCGAGGTGGGCAGATCATTTGAGATCAGGAGTTCAAGACCAGCCTGGCCAGTGTGGTGAAACCCCACCTCTGCTGAAAATACAAAAATTAGCTAGGCATGGTGGTGCCCACCTATAGTCCCAGCTACTCAGGAGGCTGAGGCAGGAGAATTGCTTGTACCCAGGAGGCGGAAGTCACAGTGAGCAGAGATCATGCCACTGCACTCCAGCCTGGTGACAGAGTGAGACTCTGTCTCAAGAAACAAAAAAGTGTTATAGAAAGATACCAGAGGCTGCCCCAGTCACACCATGGCTAGCTAAGTCTGTGCCAGCAGAGGCAGAGAGCTTGGGGAGGGACTGTTGTCCCTGTTGGAGCCTCAGTCAAAACTGAGCATCCCACTGTCCCAACCCTTCTACAGATGTACATCAGGCTGTATTTGGGCTTAAGACTGTAAGTGGGTATCTCCACTGCCCAGAAATCATTGAGTGTGTAGACAGGACAGCCTCCATGGAAGGCTGGTCATACCAGAGTTCCACTTTGGCATAGGCCTTGCCATTGAGGCAGCTTTACTTTCTGTGCTGGTCTGAGGGTGGACTGCCTGTAATGGAGCAGCCCTTTCCCAGAGGGGTGCTCATTGCCATCATTTGCCATGTTGCTTGCTTGCTGACTGCTTCTGCTCTGAGTCATTCTCTGCCGGGCCTACCACTCTTGCTTTACCAATATTGACTGTCTCTACAGATTTAGTTCGAACTCTAGCCCTGGCCCCAGTCCTGAAAAGGTACCACTGCCCAAGAAGCCTAGTCATGAAGGCACCTACCTGTTGTAGCCCTGAAGGCCCCTGGCTTAGCCTGGAGTTTGGGACCTAAGTCCATCCCACCCACATCCTGGAATCAAGATTCCAGAGTTTTAGCCAGCCTAGGGTCTAGAACTCAGAGTCCAGCCTGTTTGGATTGGACCCAGCAACTCAAGAGTCTAGCCATACTGGTTCTAAGAGAGACTCAGTGGCTCTAGAAAGATGGGCCATGGTGAGAGTTCATGAGTTGGTGGTAGGGCCAGGGCTACCTGGACTCTGTTGTGTGTCAGGGGCTGAGTCTACCCTTTTCCTAGGCTAAGCACCTCCAGGTTGGGGAAACAAACTGAAACCCACGGCAATAATGGGAGGTTGTCCAGGATGGGCCGGTCTCCCAGTCCTTCCAATATTTGGTGAATAATAAATGAAATGGCTCCACCCTGGGGTTGTGTGCGTGTCGGGGGAATTGTTATAGAAAGAATTATTATTTTCCCTTAGTCATTAAAGAAAATGTTTGCATTCATTTTTTTAACGTGGATGAATGTTTGCTTTTTTTTTTTTTAAATTAGATGCATTCAATATTCCAAGTCTGGACAGCGTCAAGAATTATTACAGGTACTGTAATAAACAGAAGACAGATCACTATGTAGAGTCAGTATTACAAGGAGGGTGCGGTCAATTCAATTAATGAGAGAAAACTTTAAAAACAAATTTTAAGAGGCAGGATCTCATTATTTTGCCCAGGCTAGCCCTGAACTCCTGAGCTCAAACGATTCTCCTGCCTCAGACTTCTGTGTAGCTGGGGCTGCAGGCATGTGCTACTGTGCCTAGCTGAAAACACTTTTTACCAGATAAAATTTTTCTATAATCTCTGGCAATTTAGAAAATGAGCCTTTTTAGACTTTTTCTTTCTTTCCTTTAATTCTTTCTGTTTCATATACAGGCATACCTCGTTTTATTGTGCTTCACCTTATTGCCCTTTGCAGATGTTACATTTTTTACAAATTGAAAGTTTGTGGCAAGCCTGCCTTGAGCAAGTCTATGGGAGCCATTTTTCCAACAGCATGTGCTCACTTCGTGTCTCTGTATCTCATTTTGGTAATTCTCATAATATTTCAAACGTTTTCATTATTATTATATCTGTTATGGTGATCTGCGATCAGTGACCTTTGATGTTACTATTGTAATTGTTTTGGGGTGCTATAAACCTTGCCCGTATAAGACCAGAAACTTAATCCAATAAATGTTGTATGTGTTCTGAGTGCTCTACCAACCAGCTGTTCTCCCATCTCTCTCCCTCTCCTCCAGCCTCCCTATTCCCTGAGACACAACAATATTAAAATTAGGCCAATTAATAACCCTACAATAGCCTCTAAGTGTTCAAGTGAAAGAAAGGGTCCAACATTTCTCACTTTAAATCAAAAAGTGGAAATGATGACGCTTGGTGAGGAAGGCTGTTGAAAGGCTTTCAGAGGCCGGGCGCGGTGGCTCAAGCCTGTAATCCCAGCACTTTGGGAGGCCGAGGTGGGCAAATCACAAGGTCAAGAGATTGAGACCATCCTGGTTAACATGGTGAAACCCCCGTCTCTACTAAAAATACAAAAAATTAGCTGGGCTTGGTGGCGTGTGCCTGTAATCCTAGCTACTCAGGAGGCTGAGGCAGGAGAATTGGCTGAACCCAGGAGGCAGAGGTTGCGGTGAGCCGAGGTCGCACCATTGCACTCCAGCCTGGGTAACAAGAGCGAAACTCCGACTCAAAAAAAAAAGAAAGGCTTTCAGGTAGGCTGAAAGTTAGGCTTCTTGAGCTAGGGCAGTGAGCCAAGTTGTGAATGCAAAGGAAAAGTTCTTGAAGGAAATTAAAAGTGCTTCTCCAGTGAACAGATGAATTATTAGAAAGTGAAACAGTCCTAGTCCTACTGTTGATGTGGAGAAAGTTTTAGTGCTCTGTATAGATGATCAAACCACCTACAATATTCACTTAAGCCAAAGCCTAATCAGGAGCAAGGTCCTAACTCCCTTCAATTCTGTGGAACCTGAGAGGGGTAAGTAAGGCAGCTGCAGAAGAAAAGTTGGAAGCTGGCAGAGCTTGGTTCATGAGGTTTAAGGAAAGAAGCTGACTCCATAACATAAATGTGCAGTGTGAAGCAGCAAGTGCTGATTGATAGAGAAGCTGCAGCAAGTTACCCCAAAGATCTAGCTAAGATAATTGATGAAGGTGGCTGCGCTAAACAACAGATTTTCTATGTAAATGAAACAGCCTTCTTTTGGAAGAAATGCCATCTAGGAATTTCATAGCTAGAGAGAAGTCAATCCCTGGCTTCAAAGGACAGGCTGACTGTTGCTAGGGGTCAATGCAGCTGATTACTATTTTTTTGTAGAAGGTTACACAATTATTTATTTATTGAGAGCCTCTTCTCTGTGCCCTTGCAGTCCCTAGGTCATTTTTCCACTTGTAGATTTTGCAGGCCAGCCCCAGAAAGATGGTTGGGGTTAGGGTGCTTCATACTGTTCAATGAGATCCATAATGTGGCTGTGACTGTAACTCTTTCTCATCTTATAAGAACATGGCCAGCAGATCCAGCTCCTCATATAGTGCCTTCACCCAGGCCACCTTCTTGGCCTCCTTCTACCTGTAATTTTCCTTCAGGATCTGGTACTGTTCTGGGAGTGGCCCGTTGCAGACACTGAACCACCAGTCAGCTGCATTTGTTGTCCTGAATGTCAGTGCCAACTTTTCCAGTCACACTGAAGTCCCCAAAGAAGTCAAGATAATTATCCTGAATCTGAAAGAACTCTCCCATCTCCAGCAGAATCTTCTTGGTATTGGCATACTCTCTCTCACCATCAGTGCCTGCCATGTACATGGCTGCAGCTACGGAAGGTAGAAAGCTGTCTTGTACTTGACATGGATTTGTACCTTTTTTATTTGAGACGGAGTTTCGCTCTTGTTACCCAGGCTGAAGTGGAATGGCGCGATCTTGGCTCACCGCAACCTCCGCCTCCTGGATTCAGGCAATTCTCCTGCCTCAGCCTCCTGAGTAGCTGGGATTACAGGCACGTGCCACCATGCCCAGCTAATTTTTTGTATTTTTAGTAGAGATGGGGTTTCACCATGTTGACCAGGATGGTCTCGATCTCTTGACCTTGTGATTTGCCTGCCTCGGCCTCCCAAAGTGCTGGGATTACAGGCATAAGCCACTGCACCTGGCCTCAAGATTTGTACCTTTTTTCAGTGAATCTGCCAAGATCCACATTGCTCTGGGGGGCTGTGATGAGGTCCAGGGTCTGCCAATCTTGGTCTGATAGGAACTCTGCAGGGAGAGCTGGATCAGGTTCAGGTAATAGGGTTGCTCCTGGCAATAAAGCTTCAGCAGGTGGTAAATACATGCTTGCAGAAGCATTGCATTATTGATGGCATCCAAACCCATGCCCAGCTTCTGATACCAGCAGATCTGTCTCTAGTGGGTGAGGGATGAATCCATGATGTCATCTGCCACCAGGAATAAAGCTTACAGCGGTTCCACACATCAGCCACAGTCAGGGCTGCTGGAGACTATCAGCATCCTGTTTCTTCGGCTCCACCAGCTCCCTGAATGCAACTAACACCATCGAAGCCCGGTGATACTTGCCTTCAATGGCACTGTACTCCAGGACCTCCTTGAGCTGGGCAATCACATCTCTTGTCTCTGGGTGGCCCCATCATCCTCAGTCAGTCATTCCTCTAATCCGGGGGAAGCGCAGAATGAAGTCCTATTTTTCTTGGGCAGAAATATCTGATTTCTGGTCTCCATTCATTCTGAAGGAGGAGCAAAGGGGTTTATTGCTGGATGTGGGTTCCTGTTCAACAGTGTTGACTTCAAGTGGAGCCAGTGCTCATTTACCATTCTGAAAATCCTTGGGTGCTTAAACGTTATGCTAAATCTACTCTGCGTGTGTTCTATATATGGAGCAACAAAGCCTGGATAATAATAGCACATCTGTTTACAGCATGGTTTACTGAATATTTTAAGTCCACTGTTGAGAACTAATGCTCAGAAAAAAATATTCCTTTCCATATCAGTGGTCATTATTGACAATGCACCTGGTCACCCAAGAACTCAGAGTATAACGTACAAGGAGATGAATGTTATTTTCATGCCTGCTAACACAGTATTCATTCTGTAGCCCATGGATCAACGAGTAATTTCAACTTTCAACTCTCACTATTTAAGAAACACATTTTATAAGACTGTGGCTGTCATAGATTGTGATTCCTCTAATGGATGTGGGCAGTCAATTGAAAAATTTATGGAAAGGATTCACCATTCTAGATGCCATTAAGAACAGGTGCAATTAATGGGAGGATGTTAAAATGACAACATGAGCAGGAGTTTGGAAGAAGTTGATTCCAACTCTCATGGATGACTCTGAGGGGTTCAAGACTTCAGTGGAGGAAGTAACTGCAGATGTGGAAATGGCAAGAGAACTGGAATTAGAAGTGGAGCCTGAAGAGGTGACTAAATTGTTACAATCTTATGATATAACCTGAACGGATGACAAGTTGCTTCTTATGGATAAGCAGAAAAAGTGGTTTTTTTGTTTTTGTTTTTTTTGAGATGGAGTTTCGCTATTGTTACCCAGGCTGGAGAGCAATGGCGCGATCTCGGCTCACCGCAACCTCCGCCTCCTGGGTTCAGGCAATTCTCCTGAGTAGCTGGGATTACAGGCATGTACCACCATGCCCAGCTAGTTTTTTGTATTTTTAGTAGAGACTGGGTTTCACCATGTTGACCAGGATGGTCTCGATCTCTTGACCTTGTGATTTGCCCACCTCGGCCTCCCAAAATGCTGGGATTATGGGTGTGAGCCACCGTGCCCGGCCGAAAAAGTGGTTTCTTGAGAGGGAAACTACTCCTGGTAAATATGGTGTGAACATTTTTCAAATGACAACAAAGGATTTAGAATTATACATAAACTTATTGATAAAGCAATGACAGTGTTGGAGAGGATTGGAATCCTTTGGGTAAAATGCTGTCAAGCAGCGTTGCATGCTACAGAGAAATCTTGTGAAAGGAAAAGTCAATTGATTTAGCAAACTTAATGGTTGTCTTATTTTAATAAATTGCCACAGCCACCCCAACCACCACTCTGATCAGTCAGCAGCCACCAACATCAAAACAAGACCCTCCATCAGTAAAAAGATTCTGACTCACTGGAGGCCCAGATGATCATTAGCATTTTTGGCAGTAAAGTTTTTTTTGAGACAGACTCTCACTCGGTCACCTAGGTTAGAATGCAATGGCACAATCTCAGCTCACTGCAGTCTCCATCTCCCAGGCTCAAAGTGATCCTCCCACCTCAGCCTCCTGGATAGCTGGGACCAGAGGCATGAGCCACCATGCCTAGCTAATTATTGTATTTATTTTTTTTATAGAGACAGGGTTTCGATGTGTTGCCCAGGCTAGTCTTGGACTCCTTGGCTCAATGACCCACCCACCTTGGCCTCCCAAAGTGCTAGAATTATAGACATTAGCCACCATGCCCAGTCAGTGGAAGTATTTATAAATTAAGGTATGTGCATTGTTTTTTCAGACATGATGCAATTGCACACTTAATAGACTATAGTATAGTGTAAACATAACTTTCTTTTTTTTTTGAGACAGGATCTTGCTCTGTTGCCCAGACTGGAGTGCAATGGCATCATCTCAGCTCACTGCAACCTCCACCTTCCTGGTTCAAGTGAGTCTCCTGACTCAGCCTGTGGAGTAACTGGAACTACAGGCATGAGCCATCATGCCTGGCTAACTTTTGTGTTTTTACTAGAGACAGGGTTTCACCATGTTGGCCAGGCTGGTCTCAAACTCCTGACCTCACGTGATCCGCCTGCATCAGCCTCTAAAAGTAATGGGATTATAGGCGTGAGCCACTGCGCCCAGCTGTGAACATAGCTTTCATATGCAGTGGGAAACCAAAAACTTCATGTGACTCACTTATTTGCAATATTTGCTTTATTATGGTGTGGTGCTCAGGAACCACAATATCTCTGAGGTATGCATATAGTTTAATGCTTTGTGTTGACCAATGGTACTTTTAATATTCCACACAGGCTTTAAAAAATTTTTTTAAGCCATTGGTACACAGGAAAAGTCTTTTATATCAGAGTTTGTCAACCACGATTCTGAGATCACTGGGCTTTCAGAATCCTGAGATACTGATTCTCCTGGCCTCTGTGGTGGCTGGAGAGCCCAGTTAGTCACCTGGCTGCTTTATCTTTTCACCTTGTGTCATACAAATATTAAAATAATCTTTATTCATTGAATGTGAAAAAGACAGGTGATCTCTGAATTAGAAACCAATTCTCTAGTTTCATTATGTTTAGATTTCTCTTTTGGTTGCAATTCCATTTTTTTCAGTTTCAGGGTATTCAGTAGCTTTGTTCTGCATTGTCAATCAATCATGTAGCAAATATTTATTGAGAATTCATCCTTAGTTGGATAGTGTGAGAGATACAAGAGCTAATGTTAAAAATTTGGCTTTTGCCTTCAAGGAACTGTTAGTTTAGTTGAGGGACATCAGAATTATTTAGGAAACAACTAGAAAAGAACATGAAGGAATCGCCGATGAAATGCTAGATTACTTAGCACACAGGATAATCACTACGAGAAATCAGAAAAGGCAGAGATCAGCATGGGGTGGACATAGAGAAGACTTTATAAAAGAAGCATAAAATGTGTTCAATTTTAAAAGATGAGTAGCGTTTGAAGAAGTAAGACACACCAAGGTGGTTATTTTAGGCAAAAGGATAGGTATGAAGAGAGTTTTAAAAGCTAGAATGGGTCGGCCATGGTGGCTCACACCTGTAATCCCAGCACTTTGGGAGGCCAAGGTGGGTGGGTGACCTGACGTCAGGAGTTCGAGATGAGCCTGACCAACATGGTGAAACCCTGTCCTACTAAATACAAAAAATTAGCCGGGCATAGTGGTGCATGCTTGTAGTCCCAGCTACTTGGGAGGCTGAGGCAGGAGAATTGCTTGAACCTGGGAGGCAGAGGTTGCAGTGAGCTGAGATTGAGCCATTGCACTCCAGCCTGGGCAATAAGAGCTAAACTCTGTCTCAAAAAAAAAAAAAAAAAGCTAGAATGAACTTTGCAGGGACAATAAGGAAACTGGTATCACCAGAATCAACGTTCATACCGAGGACTAGTGTGACACTGGATAGGTAACTTAGGGCTAATTTATGGAGGTCTTAAGTAACAAGCACAGAAGTTGAGATGTGATGGGTAATAGTTCACAATTCAGCATAAGTTCTTAAGGAGGCAAGTAACATAATTAAGAGAGTGGGGTTTTTTTTTGTTGGTTTTTTTTTTTTTTTGAGTCGAGTCTTGCTCTGTCACCCAGGCTGGAGTGCAGTGGCACAATCTTGGCTCATTGCAACCTTCACCTCCTGCATCCAAGCAATTCTCCTGCCTCAGCCTCCCGAGTAGCTGAGATTACAGGTGCCCACCACCACACGCCCAGCTAATTTTTGTATTTTCAGTAGAGACGGGGTTTCACCATATTGGCCAGGCTGGTCTCGAACTCCTGACCTCATGATCCACCCACCTCAGCCTCCCAAAGTGCTGGGATTACAGGCATGAACCACCGTGCCCGGTGAAAATAATATTTTATAAAGGGCAACCTCACAATGAAAAAGAAAAAGAGATGAGGTAAAAAGGAAAAAAGAGATATCGGAGTTATGTGGACCAAATAGGATGGTCCTGCAATAGTCCAGTCATGATATGGAAAGACATTCCCATCTCAACTAGGTTCTTGGATATGGAGATGGTGACATCAATTTGAGGATGATAGGTCAAAAAGCACTGGTTAACTGAGTTTGTATAATTAGAGTCACAATAAATTGGAAGAAGAGGTTGTTCTCTTGTTAATGTGAGAAAAGAAAAGAACAGAGATGAGAATCTTTCACTTCATGTTAACTGTTTGTATCTTTGATGGTGACTGTGGAAAGTTAGGAGACATTTTGAAAGATAATTAACAGGACTTGGGGCTGAGTGGTTATTGGTAAAGTAAAGTAAATAGTCACTTTAAAGTTTCTTACCTTTATATTTTTGTTTTTAGCCACCTAAACTTTATCTGAATTTAATAAATGGCATTTTGATAAAAATAAAAATATTACAGAAATATCAGTCTGAAGAAAAAAATTAAATATTAATCTTAAAAATGCCCCAGAGAGTGCTCGCTTCGGCAGAACATGTACTAAAATTGGAATGACACAGAGAAGATTAGCATGGCCCCTGGGATGACATGCAAATTCGCGAAGCATTCCATATTAAAAAAAAAAAAAAATGCCCCAGAGAGCCTGGGAGCAGTGGTTCATACCTGTAATCCTAGTACTTTGGGAGGCTGAGGCAGGTGCATTATTTGAGTCCAGGAGTTTGAGACCAGCCTGGGCAACATGGTGAAACCCCATCTCTACAAAAATAGAAAAATAAGCTGGGCATGGTGGTATATACCTTTGATCCCAGTTACTCGGGAGGCTGAGGTGGGTGGATAGCTTGAGCCCAGGAGGCTGAAGTTGCAGTGAGCTGAGATCTTGCCACTGTGCTCTAGCCTGGGTGACAGAGCCAGACCCTGTATCAAAAAAAAAAAAAAGCCCCATAGAATGCCAAAATCCCATCTTATGTTAGTGTCATATATTTTAACTTGTGTTTTCAAATAGTTGGATTTATTTTTGGACAGTTGGATTTTAATGTATCAAAAATGCAAGAAAGGAAACAACATATGTAAGATTATAAGATTCTGAGGAATAACTGAAAATAAAATAAGAAAAAATATAAGTAAAAATTTTAATTTAGAATAAAACCCTAAGATAGAAATTTAAAAAATACCAAGGAGATAGGCAATAGAACTAATTGGCGTTTAAATTGGGTTTGACTAATTTCTGCTTATTAGTTATGATGTCTATATAATGTATTTACTTGGGTTACATTATATTTGATGGCTGTTGTGGCCCACTAGCCCATTACGTTTCAGGAGTTTATTTGTATTATTAAATATATGCTGTTAGGTAAAAATCATGTAAGACACTTAGATAAAAGATAATATCAACTTTTCTTATAATATTTTGACATTTGAAGAATATAGGTATACCCCCCCCAATAAAATTTATGCTTTCCTTCTTATTTATTCAACACATACTTAATGAGTACCTGCTCTGTACTGTGTTACCCATCCTTTCTTCCTGATCTTCACTCTGCAGTTTTATGGACACCTGAACACTGTTGACACTTAAGGTACTGAACCTTCATTAGTGGATGTAGACCCTGTGTATGTTATCAGTATATCTTTAGGAACCAAAAAGGATTTAACAACTCAGACCTAGACCAGTATTTTTCTCCTTGTTTGAAGACTTCCTCTTTGCAAGTCTTTCTTGTGGACTAAACCTCTGTAGTCCTGTTTCAAGAAGTAAATAGCTTATATCTCACTACACCAAGAATTCTTCTAGGTACTTAGTAGGCCCTCACTAAATCTGCAAATGATTGATAAATACTGTTCCACTGGATTCTGATTTGTTTCTTTTTGAACATCTAGTGGACTGACCAAAAGAGCCATCTTATTTCTAAGCTTTACTTGGTGAACTTGTGTTTGGTTGTTGATGAATTAGTTTGCATGAGTCTTTGGGGACAACGGGAGAAAAACCTTGAAATTTAATCAGTTTATCCATTGTGGATCTAGGAGAGTATATTTCTCTGTCAGATCAGCAAATCTCTTTTTCAAGGGAAGGTAAAATTTAGTGTGGTATTAGGGAAAGGAATTTTAAAGCACTGTCTTTTTATGATTACACTAACACTCTCCTGTCTTCTATTTTTTAGGAAATATTCTGCTGTACGTAGAGATGGCCCTTTCCATTATGTCCACAGTACTCCCTTTGGCAACTATTCGTTCATCTCTGTGGATGCCACCTTAAATCCAGGGCCTAAGAGACCCTATAATTTCTTTGGAATTTTAGATAAGGTATAGTAAAAATATTACTCCCTTTGTAGCTTACTTATTTTTTCATGGACATGTGGATCACTTAAAGTTATCATAGGTAAAGTAGCTGTTATCAAGAAATTTAACTTGGTTACAGTATGGCTAGAAGTTACTGGCTATTTCAGCACTATTTTTGCTATCCTTGTTCTTGACCCAAAATCTAAGAAAGAAGTATCTCACACTTTATGGAGTAAACATTTATTATATAGGTACTGGGTGCAGGATGCACTTTGCAGGGTACAGGACCTATAGCTTTGTGTGGTATATTCCTAAGTTCCCACAATTGCCAATTCTGACTAATGATCTTCTTTTTTTGTGTGATGGAGTTTTGCTCTGTCACTCAGGCTAGAGTGCAGTCGTGTGATCTCGGCTCACTGCAGCCTCCACATCCCTGGCTCAAGCAATTCTCATGCCTCAGTCTCCCAAGTAGAGATTACAGGCATGTGCCACCATGTCCAGCTAATTTTTGTATTTTTAGTAGAGAGAGGGTTTTGCCATGTTGGCCAGGGTGGTCTCAAACTCCTGATCTCAAGTGATCCACCTGCCTCAGCCTCCCAAAGTGCTAGGATTACAGGCATGAACCACTGTGCTCAGCTGGTCTCTATTTTTTTTTAACAAACGAAGGACAACTATTGAAATCAGTAAGTTTATTTTCAAGTATTTTGGCAAGGCTAGGGGATTGCTGGATTTAAACTGTGTGGAAAGTATCATTTGAGAACCTCTTATTATTTCTTGGTACAATAAATGCCAACTCATTATTTAATAAACATATCCCCCTAAGTAAGACTTGTGAACTCATATGAAAGGAGACAAAGTTAATAAAGTCAATTCTTAGACTCTTAGAGTGTTTAATCTAGTGATGAAGTATAAGACCAGTATAGAAATAAATATAATAAAGAGCAGAATTTGCTAAATTAGAACTAAGAGGTTCAGAGTTATATGAGAGTTTGAAAGAATGTGAAATCAAGTGAACAGAATATTGTCAAATGCACTGTGTTACTTTAGGCATTTTATTTGGTTATGTTCTGTTTTGTTTCCTATCTATCAAGTGTCTTTAGTCAGGGTTGATTAACTCACATTAAATCCCATTCCTTAGTATTGTGTTAAGGTAGAATTTGAGGATCATGTACATGAAAACCAACTGGACTGTTACAAATGCAGATCTCTTGGCTTTGCCCTGGACTCACCAAATTAAAACCCTGAGGGTAGAGCCCAGAAATTTATTGTTGTAAGCACTTTACAGATAATATTAATGCATATTTACATATGTACCAGTTATTTTTTGAAATCAACTTTTGAGGTATGATTTGCATATCAAAAATATCCTCATTTTAAATGTTTGAAGAGTTTTGACAAATGTATATACTGGCATAACTGTCACCACAATTAAGACATAGAACATTTCCATCATCCTAAAGAATTCCCTTGTACAGTTATCTTCACCTCCTGGGGAATAACTGATTGGTTTTCTACCAGCATGGATTCATTTTGTTTGTTCTAAAATTTTGTATAAATGAAATCATACAGTATGTACTGTTGGATCTGGCTTCCTTTGCTCAGTATAATGTTTCTGAGATCCATCCATATGGTTGTGTGTATCAGCAGTTCTTTCCTTTCTGTTGCTGAGTAGTAGTCTATCACGTGGATGTATTACAACTTGATGGTGATTATTTCTAGTTTTTGCTTATTATCAGAACTGTAATAAACATTTAGGTAGAAGTCTTTCCATGTTATTATTTTACAAGTTTAGTTTCTGTATCCTCTTTATTAATTGTAATGTGTTATACAAAGCTATAAAGATTAGTGATGACTGCTTTATTTCTCAGTTTCCTTATCTATTAAAAGAGGTTAGGCCAGACGCTCAAGCCTGTAATCCCAGCACTTTGGGAGGCCAAGGCAGGTGGATCACGAGGTCAAGAGATCGAGACCATCCTGGTCAACATGGTGAAACCCCGTCTCTACTAAAAATACAAAAAATTAGCTGGGCATGGTGACGCGTGCCTGTAATCCCAGCTATTCAGGAGGCTGAGGCAGGAGAATTGCCTGAACCCAGGAGGCGGAGATTGCAAGATGGCGCCATTGCATTCCAGCCTGGGTAACAAGAGCGAAACTCCATCTCAGAAAAAAAAAAAGAGGTTAATACCTACCATACTTATTGCAGAGTTATTTTTAGGATCAAATGAATTATAATGTATATGGAAACAGTTTGAAATCCACAGAGGTCCATACTGGTCATTAACTAGTAGGGTTTAAGGCCTAGATACATAAAATAGTTATTATAAATCTTCAGAGGAGTTTCCTAATCTGTTGACATTAGATTTTAGCCTGAGCCCTAATTTAAGATCCTTCCATTTTTCTCCCTTTTCAGAAACAGATGGAGGAGCTCTTATTACTGGCCAAAAAAAGTAGTCAAAGCAACCATACAATTTGGTTTGGACACTTTACAACATCCACTATTCTTTCTCCATCACCAGGAATCCGGTCAATAATGAGGTGAGACAAGCTTCCAAAATCAGAATTCATTTGTTTTTAGTTTTTAATTTTGCCGTACCTATTCTGCTTTTCTGGCAAGACATTTTTATTAGTTTGGCCTCACAAGTTATCTTTGTTCATTTATTTCATTTATCTTTCATTGGTTAGTTCGGCTATAGCTTATTTGTGTGGACATCTCCATACACTTGGTGGACTCATGCCTGTTTTGCACACTCGTCACTTCCAGGGCACTTTGGAACTTGAGGTGGGAGACTGGAAGGATAATAGAAGGTAAGGGAACCTCCCCACAGAATAAAACTTATACACATAAGTTTTGCCAAAGCAATGATAGTTTTCTGGCTGATATCATGGATGATTACAGTTGAAGAAAACCTTGTGATATTTCCATTTTTCTAAAGTACTATGTGTCTCTGCAATCTTTGTCATTTTGCAGAAACCTTGTCACAGAAGTGATGTTAACTATCACCGTGTTATGTTGGATTTTCAAGATATGTCCATTAGGAAATGGACTCAAACTCTAGTGTGCACAAGACTTATGGGGGAGCTTATGAAAAATAAAAATTTTCAGGCACTATATCTAGAGATTTTGATTACGTTGGTCTGGATTAGGGTCCAACCAACCTCATTTTTTTTTTTTGAGATGGAGTCTCGCTCAGCTGCCCAGGCTGTTGTGCAATGGCACCATCTCAGCTCATTGCAACCACCATCTCCCGGATTCAAGTGATTCTCCTGTCTCAGCCTGTCTAGTAGCTGGGATTACAGACACATGCCATCATGTCTGGCTAATTTCTGTATTTTAGTAGAGATAGGATTTCACCATGTTGACCAGGCTGGTCTTGAACTCCTGACCTCAGGTGATCTGCCCGCCTCAGCCTCCCAAAGTGCTAGGATTACAGATATGAGCCACCATACCCAGCCCAAACTGCATTTTTTTTTTTGAGACGGAGTTCCGCTCTTGTTACCCAGGCTGGAGTACAATGGCGCGATCTCGGCTCACCGCAACCTCCGCCTCCTGGGTTCAGGCAATTCTCCTGCCTCAGCCTCCCGAGTAGCTGGGGTTACAGGCACGCGCCACCGTGCCCAGCTAATTTTTTTTATTTTTAGTGGGGACGGGGTTTCACCATGTTGACCAGGATGGTCTCGATCTCTTGACCTCGTGATCCACCCGCCTCGGCCTCCCAAAGTGCTGGGATTACAGGCTAGAGCCACCGCGCCCGGCCAGTATATCAAACTGCATTTTTTAAAAGGCTGCTGGGTGGTCTATACACCACAATTTGAGAAATACTAGTACTAGAAGTTTCATTTTTTTCCTCCTGAATTTTGTATCTACCATACTGGTTAATGCTACAGGATGGCAGTGATTTAAGTTCTTCAAATAGATGATAGTTGCCTTTTTTCAGGTTAAGGTCTCTCTAACAGAAAACATGTTTATCAAAATCATGTAGTATAGTTAAATATATATTTTTATATTTTTACATTTTAATTTTAATTAATTAATTTATTTTTTGAGACGGAATTTTGCTCTTGTTACCCAGACTGGAGTGCAATGGCGCGATCTCAGCTCACCGCAACCTCCCTCCGCCTCCTGGGTTCAGGCAATTCTCCTGCCTCAGCCTCCCGAGTAGCTGGGATTACAGGCACGCGCCACCATGCCCAGCTAATTTTTTGTATCTTGAGTAGAGACGGGGTTTCACCATTTCGACCAGGATGGTCTCGATCTCTTGATCCACCCGCCTGGGCCTCACAAAGTGCTGGGATTACAGGCTTGAGCCACCGCGCCCAGCTTATTTATTTATTTTTTAAGACGGGGTTTCACCATATTGGTCAGGCTGGCCTCCAAAGTGCTTGGATTACAGGCGTGGGCAACCACGCCCGACCAATATATGTTTTTTTTAAAGAAGTATTTAAATGAAATAGTTTATCAAGTATAGAGGAGTATCTAATTGTTTAACTAATACTGTTATTTAATTTACACAAACCCTGTGCTCTCAGTTAATAGGTACTCAACAACGATTTGTTGCACAGAATATGTTATCTTTTTTTTTAACTACTTCCATTAATTAAAAAGGAACTTTACATCTTGGAAGGTATTCCCTCATTTTGGTTGACTTTTTAGAAACTGTATGAGTTATACTTGAAACCTGTAATTATTTGGCAACTATAATTACTTTGAGCTAGAACTTGTCTATTCATGGCTGTGAGGCTGTGGGCTGGGCTATGATTGCCTTTTGTAAGATAGTCTTTTTGATCGGCTTCTTTATTTCTTCTAAGTGCTCCAGTTACAAGTTGTAATGTTAATTATGAAGCCATTTCCTTTCTCTCTCCAACAGCTCTCCTGTGTTCAAACCCTGGGGTTTTATCTGGAGTTTACTAAAAGGACCTAACCTTTACCTGCCTTTATAAACACTTAAATTGTATTAGTTACAATAGAAGAATTTTTAAAAAACAGTTAGTATATTGGTAATATTAGGCTAGTCCTTGTTGTAGATGCAGATAAATCTAGAAATATCAGTGGCTTAACACAAATGTTTTTCATTTGTATAAATTCAGTATGAGTCAGAACAAGTATTTTCCATGGGGTGAGTCAGTAATTCAGACTTCCTCCATCTTAAAATACCTATTTTGACATGTCAATTCCAGGGCAGGAAAGAGAGCACTAAGAACTCACACTCACTCTTTAGTACTTTGGATCACAGGCATGATATGTGTCACTTCTGTTCACAGCCCATTGGCCAAAACTAATCACATGGTCCCAACCAAATACCAAGGAGACTGGAAAATTCGGGGGAATGTGTAGAGTGTCTGATGAGCACAATTGTTTTTGCCATAGTGAATCATTTCTTTTCTTATTTCTAAAAGTTAGAAAACATAAAACTTTGGTTATTCTTTAATGAAGATTTTATACCTTTTGCTATTGCATTTGGAAAATGAAAACAACTTTAATTTCTTTGAAATTATAGCAATAAAGGTTTAAGGCTAGGCATGGTTGCTTATACCTATAATCCCAGCACACTAGGAGACTGAGGCAGGGTGATCATCTGAGGTCAGGAGTTCGAGACCAGCCTGGCCAACATGGTGAAACCCTGTCTCTACTAAAAATAGCCGGATATGGTGGCAGGTACCTGTAATCCCAGCTACTTGGGAGACTGAGGCAGGGAAAATTGCTTGAACCCGGGAGGCAGAGGTTGCCGTGAGCCAAGATGATGCCACTGCACTCCAGCCTGGGTGACAGAGTGAGACTCTGTCTCAAAAAAAAAAGAAAAGAGGTTTAAAATAAGCATGAAAGATTTTTAATTGTGTTCATATCAACCAGTTTAATATTTTATGTAGCATTGTTGATAGGATGAACAATGTCAGGTATTAGGGTTATAATAAATGTCTTAGGTTCAAAATTGTCTAAAGTACAGGGATAAGACAAATTACTTCAACAGTATTTATTTAAAAATTAGAGTACATGCCACGTACCAGGTATTGTTCGAGAGCATAGCTGAATCTATTGCTCCAGTCAGAGGCCAGTTATGTGACAAAAGTGAAGGATAAAATCAAAGGGGTAAGGGAAAAAAGAAAGAAAATATTACTTAATCTTTATTCAAATTCATCATGTAAACAAGTCCTAGTTATATATTTTTATATTTGTTCTGTATGTTACCTTCATGACCTCTTACAATGTGAAGTAACTAAATTACCTTATTATCTGATCTCTAGGTACCGAATTTTTGCTTTTGATCATGACCTCTTTAGCTTTGCAGATTTGATCTTTGGCAATTGGCCTGTGGTTCTTATCACCAATCCTAAGTCACTCCTATATTGTTGTGCTAAACATGAACCACTAGAAAGACTTCTTCACTCAACACACATCAGGTATGTAGCAATTTTTCAGAATTTACTTTCAGTTTGATAATAATAGAGAATAAGTCATTGTGATTGTATTCCTATGTGAAAGCTATGAGATTCACCATTTTAGTTTTCTCAATAACCTAAACATTATATAAAGATAGATTACTTACTGTTTTGTTCCCATTAAGTTAAAAAGCGTATCATTTTCTTAAGTTGATGAAATTTTAAAAACCATTCAGAAACCCATAATTCTACCATTATTATTTTTGTTTCATTTTATTCCAGCCTTTTTATTTGAATGCGTTTACACTGCTATAAGCATAATGTACACTTTCCTTTATAGCCCACCTTTTTAAAATTTGCAAGTTACCATAAGGTTATTCTCCATTACTGAAACAATGACAAACCTAAAACCGTGTGTTTTGTACATGCTCTCATTTTAGAATTTTGGCCTTTTCCTTATCCACCATTACTTCTGTCACAGTTATGATTGATGAAGTTGATTTAGGCCAGGCTGTTCATGTGTCTGGTCCCATTTTCATACTGAAGTGGAATCCTAGGAACTACAGTAGTGGGACACATAACATAGAGGTAATCGTCCAGGTAAGTTAGTAATTTATATTCACTGTGTAAATGACTAAGCTGTAGGCTCAATGAATTGTTGTTTGGAATATTTTAGTCAATTGTTAAAAAATTGGGGGCCAGGCATGGTGACTCACGCCTGTAATCTCAGCACTTTGGGAGACCAAGGCGGTTGGATCACCTGAGCACAGGAGTTCGAGAAGAGCCTGGGAAAAACAGTGAAACTCTGTCTGCACAAAAAGATACAAAAATTGGCTGGGCATGGTGGTGTGTGCCTGTAGTCCCAGCTATTCAGCAGGCTGAGGCAGGACAATCACTTGAGCCCAAGAGGTGGAGGTTGCAGTAAGCTGACATTGCACCACTGCACTCCAGCCTGAGCAACAGAGCCAGACCCTGTCTCAGTACAAACAAAAAAGTGAAAAAATTTGGGCTGAGACTGGAGGATCATTTGAGGCCAGTAGTTTTGAGACCAGCCAGGGCAACATAGTGAGACCCCCATGTCAACAAAAATATAGGTACGCCCAGTTAGCTGGACGTGGTAGCGTGCATTTGTAGTCCTAGCTATTTGGGAGGCTAAAATGGAAGGATTATTTTAAAGAGACTTGAGGGTTCATGTGCACCAGGAGTTCAAGGTTATAGTGAGTTCTGATCATGCCACTGCACTCTAGCCTGAGCAACAGAGAGAGACCCGATCTCAAAAAAAAAAAAAACCCCAAAAATTGAATACACTGTATTTAGTATATTCTGAAAATAGGCACTCAGGAGTAATTCTAATATTAGATTAAAAACTAGGCAGAAGAGAAGAGGAGTGACCGTAGTCTCGCTCTGTTTTTAACTCCAGGAAATCATTCTTTTGTTTTCTTCCAACTTTGGCCGGAATCTTTTCATAATGGGGACAAATTCTCCAGCATACCCAAAGGTAATAGAATAAGTCAGAAAACGTATTATGCATCCATATCTTGGATTGCTATCTCTAACTGTAGGACAATTGTGTCACTATTTGAAAGCTTCAGGACACAGAAAATTTCCAAGGCATCAAAGCACTTTTTGTTAGGAGAATAAGCATTGTTAGCATATGCAGTACCAGTCTGCCTTTTCTTATTCTGATTCAGTTTGGGGCATTGAATTTATTAGCACCTGCCAGAATAGAAAGTAATAATCAGGCCGGGCGTGGTGGCTCAAGCCTGTAATCCCAGCACTTTGGGAGGCTGAGGCGGGTGGATCACAAGGTCAAGAGATCGAGACCATCCTGGTCAACATGGTGAAACCCCGTCTCTACTAAAAAATATACAAAAAAAATTAGCTGGGCATGGTGGCGCGTGCCTCTAATCCCAGCTACTCAGGAGGCTGAGGCAGGAGAACTGCCTGAACCCAGGAGGCGGAGGTTGTTGTGAGCTGAGATTGCGCCATTGCACTACTCCAGCCTGGGTAACAAGCGCGAAACTCCGTCTCAAAAAAAAAAAGAAAGAAAGTAATAATCATTACCAAAATAGAGCAGTTTCATTAAATTCTCAAGGCGATAAGCTGTGCTCAGAAATTAGTTTCTTGCACACATGCACGCACACACACACACATGTCAATTTCTGCAATTTTATGATTTGATGACATTTTAAAACTATTTAATCTTGTAATGTTAATACTTAATTTGAAACACCAAATAATTTTTCAGAAAACGTATGTACTTTGTCTTTTTTATCCCCCCAACAAAGACAAGTTGAGCAGGAAGAAACTATTTACTGAGCTCCCTCTAAGGAGATGCCAGGCACTTAGAATTTTTTACTTATTCCACAAAACAATCCTTCATTTGGGTAGTTTTACCCTTAATTTGTAAATGGGGAAACTTGTACATCTGCACAAGAGAAGACATTTTGCTATGCCACCTGTCTTTAAAATATTCTGTGTAGAAGGAAGAAAAGAAAAAACTTACAGAAGAATGTAGGAGAGATGGCTGGAGATGAACCCTTAAGGTCTTTCATATTAGAAGTTGGATCATTTTAAAGAGGCTTGAAGGTTCATGTGCACCTAGAATAAGTTATTCCATGTCTTTAAAGTCGTGGAGAAGATGTGGGAACAACTTTAGCATTGGGAAGCTAACACTTGGAGTGCCTCAGAATCGCAGTGTATTATTTTCTTGATATGATATACATACAGCCTCTGTAGTTTTATGAAGAAAAAAACTCCATAGCTTACATTTTATGAAACATTTTAGGCTGCTTAATTAAATCCTTAGTAAAAATGTAAAATCACATACTTTTTTATGTTTAACATTTCTTAACAATGGTATCAAGGTATACTTTATACTTAATAACATAATAAGCCTTGTATATTTAAAGTATACAATTTGGTGAGTTTTGACATATGTATACATCTTTAAAGTCATTACCTACAAGCAAGTGATACATTTCTCTCAATAGTTTTCTTGTGTCTTTTGCAGTCTGTTTTCCTTATATCCTCAGCCTCAGGCAATGACTTATCTATTTTGTTTTCTTACATGTATAACTTGAAACAATTAACCTACTGAGTAGTATTAAATAGGAAACCTGCTCCCCTCATTCGTTCATGGGAAAGTTCTGTCCTTTTAAATACAGTAAGCTATAGATAAGTCAGATTGAAACTCAAAATCTGTGGGAGAAAACATTTCTTTATTATCTAATATTTTACCTACTTGTTAGATTTATTGAATATCTATAGGTTCCTTGTAGTCTATTAGCAACTAGACCTTTGGATCAATTTTCAGTGTGGGTCTTGGGCTAGTAGCCTCAGTATCACCTCGGAACTTGTTAGAAATGGAAATTCTTAGGTCTCATCCGAAACCTACTGAATCAGAAACTTTAGAGATAGGACCCAGCAATCTAATTTAACAATCTCTCCAGGTGATTCTGATGTGCACTAAAGTTTGAGTACTAGTAGTTTAAGATTATTGTGCCTACTCTGCCAATTTAAAGAGTAGACTCTAGAAATCTCTAATCTCAAACATTAGAGAAATCTAGATCCCTGCTTTAAAAAATAACTTATTTAATATAAGCACATTTTGAGCAATAAAAGTTTAAAAAACACAAATGTAAGTTCTTATTATTTTAAAACTTTCTTGTAGTGGGAAAGTATATTTATTTATTTATTTTTATTGCATTTTAGGTTTTGGGGTACATGTGAAGAACACGCAAGATTGTTACATAGATACACAGGTGGCATTGTGATTTGCTGCCTTCCTCCCCTTCACCTATATCTGGCATTTCTCCCCATGCTATCTCTCATAGTGGGAAAGTTTTAAATATACAAAAGGGATAATATTATAATGAACTCCCATATATCCATCAGCCAGTCTCAACAATTGTCAACTCATGGTCAGTCTTGTTCCATCTTTATGCCTATCTCCCCTCTCTGCACCATGATGTCATTTCATCTATAAATATGTCAATATGGACCAGTAAAAGATAAGGACTGTTTTTTAAAAACATAACCATGATCCCATATCATACCTGGAAGGTTAACAGTAATTCCGTAATATCAAACTACCCAGCTAATGTTCATTATTCCAATATGTCACATACATAGATAGACAGAAAGATAAATAGATATGTATATTTGCATTTGGTTAGTTCAAATCAGAATCCAATCAAGGTTCATACATTGCATTTAACTGACTTGTCTCTTTCATCTCTTTTACTGTATAGATTGCCTCCCTTACCTCCTCCTTCTTTTTTTCCCCCCTTCCAATAATTTATTTGTTTGGGAAACTGAATCTTTGGTCCTGTGGAGCTCTCTGTTTTTGGGATTTTTGCTGTTTACATCCCTGTGGTATCATTTAACATGTTCATCTATCCCCTTCCCCCTTAGTTTCTATAACTGGTAGTTAGATTTATATATATATATATATATTTTTTTATTTTTGTCAAAACTACTTTTTCTGGTGTTTTATGCTTTTAACAGGATGCTCATAAAATTTGGTTGTTTCTCTTTCTATAATGTTAAGATGCCTCAGTGTCTTCAGCTGTTGGTAGCTTTATCCACTGGTATGTTGGTAAATATTTAGCAACCAGCTTGGGGCAAGTTACTGCGATCAAGGAGAGGATCCTGATTTGTAGCATTTCCCCAATTTATATCAATTCCCATAATATAAATATTTCAACCATGGCTGGTTTTAAGCTACCAACGCCATGCTAGTGGCCTGCATAATTGCTGAAAACTTAACAGCTGGCTGTTAAGTTTTAACAGCCAGCACACTGCTGGCTCATCCTTCCATTATCTTTTCACCTAAGGGTTGTTAGTAGCCATTGATGATATTTACCTAAATTCATTTTTTCATTAGAGTTATAAAATAGTAATATTCAAATTTTCTTTCCTTATATAGGAATATTCATTAGAACAATCCTATGAAGAAAAAATTCTCTCGTCCATTCGGTATCCAGATATAGAGTCACACAGGAAATGCAAGATAAATTCTTCTTTCCTCATTGTCCCTTTACTAAACTAGTTTTCAGAATAATGAGTTGGTTCTTTAGTATCTGCCAAAGGTGACTGAGTCTTTTACGTTTAATATTATTATAAATTCAAAGTTTAAAAAAATACATACTTGATATGTTTCAGTCCATTGCATTTATTCTTTTCCATGCTGAAATTGTTCCACCTTTTGCTAGTAGGAGCTTCTTCATGTTGACTACTAAGTCCTTTGACACAATCCCAGTAGTCTTTGTTCATTTTTTTACGTTCTTATTTGACAAGATGGTCCAAGCTTTTCTTATGCATTTTTTTCTTTAAAAAATTTTTTAAAAAGTTTTAATTTTTGTGGGTACATAGTAGGTGTGTATATTTATGGGGTACATGAGATGTTTTGAAACAGCCATGCAATCAATGCATAATAATCACATCATGGAAAATAGAGTATCCATCCTCTCAGGCATTCATCCTTGTTTTACAAACAGTCCAGTTACACTCTTAGTTGTTTTTAAAAGTACAAGTCAGTTAGTATTGATTCTAGTCATTCTATTGTGCTATCAAATAATAGGTCTTATTCATTCTTTCTATGTTTTTTGTACTGATTAACCATCCCCACCTCCCTCCCAATGTCCCCTTACTACCCTTTCTAGCCTCTGGTAACCATCCTTCTACTCTTTATGTCCATGAGTTCAATTGTTTTGATATTTAGATCCCACAAGGAAGTGATAACATATGATGTTTGTCTTTGTGATCTCCAGTTCCATCCATGTTGTTGCAAATGAAAGGATCTCATTCTCTTTTTTTATGGCTGGATAATATTCTATTATGTATATGTACCTCATTTTCTTTATCCATTCATCTGCTGATGGACACTTAGGTTGCTTCCAAATCTTAGTTACTGTGAACAGTGCTTCAGCAAACATGGGAGTGCAGATATCTCTTCTTGTGCACTTTCTACTTAAGAACTGGAATGAGCTATTTCCCTAAAGGGCACTATTTTCTTGTAGTAAGAAATGCTATTTTGAGACCACAGTCTAGGCACCAGCCTAGCTAGCTCATTACTGTTAGGTTTGTTGTTATTTCTAGGCCTTTTTAGGGAACAGAGGGAAATACAGGGTTTTTTTTTTTTAAGGGAAAATACATTGTGAGTGTATGCTAATACTTCCTATTTAATGTAGAATTACGGGTTTTAAAAGAAAATTTTTTTTTTTTTTTAGACAGAGTCTCGCTCTGTCACCCAGGCTGGAGTGTAGTGGCGCAATCTTGGCTTACTGCAAGCTCTGCTCCGTGAGTTCAAGCAATTCTCCTGTCTCAGCCTCCTGAGTAGCTGGGATTACAGATGTGCACCATCATGTCCAGCTAATTTTTTGTATTTTTAATGGAAATGGGGTTTCATTTCACTATGTTGGCCAGGCTGGTCTCGAACTCTGGCCTCAAGTGATCCACCTGCTTTAGCCTCCTAAAGTGCCAGGATTACAGGCATGAGCCACTGCACCTGGCCTAAGATATGTTATTAAAAGTATTTATAGGGCAAGCACTTTGGGATGCCAGTGCAGGAGGATTACTTGAGGCCAGGAGTTCAAGACCAGCCTGGGCAACATAGCAAGACCCCAAGCATAGTGGCGCATGCCTATAGTCCCAGCTACTTGGACAGCTGAATCAGGAAGATCACTTGACCACAGGAGGTCAAAGCTGCAGTGAGCTACGATTGCACAACTGAACTCCAGCCTGGGAAACAGAGAAACCTCGAAAAACAACAATAACAACAACAAAAAAATGTAGTTATTAGAAACCTATTCTTATAAGTAATAAATATTTCCATGTACATGAGAGTTACTTTTGTTCTGTGGTTATTACTAGGATTCTGCTGGAAGAAGTAAGCGTGCTCACCACATATTTTCTGTTCAAGAGAATAATCATCTCAGTTTTGATCCCCTGGCATCATTTATTCTCCGTACTGATCACTATATCATAGTAAGTGAATTCAATTAAACATTACATATGTTACTAGATTTGGTAAATGCAGAGTCCTAAATAATATACAGTAGTCCTCCTTTATGTATGGTTTCACTTTTCATAGTTTTAGTTACCCAAGGTTATCCATGGTCTGAAAATATTACATATAATAAGATATTTTAAGATACAGAGACCATAATCCTATAACTTTTATTATAGTATATTGTAATAATTGTTCTATTTTATTATTGTTGCCAATCTCCTACTGTGCCTTTTATAAATTAAACTTTATCATAGGAATATATTTACAGGAAAAAAACATAATATATATAGAGTTCGGTACTATCTGTAGTTTCAGGCATCCACTGGGGGAGTGACCTGGAATCTATCCCCTGTGGATAAAGGAGGACTATTGTGATCATATGACAAGAAAGTTGAATCTCATAAAATTGAAGTTTAGTTATTTGTCTAGAAGAATAAAATGTTTTTAAGTTTATTTGAATTAAAAGAAGCAGAGGCATGGATGAGTCATTTGGGATGCTATAAAACCAGGATAACTAAGGGAGTTACAGGGCCTATGCTAACTTGGGTTAAGGCTTTTTAAAGAATGTTATTTCCACATCAATAATGCATGCTCAAAGTAGAAAACCTGGAAAATATAGAAATAGATAAAGTGAGATTGGCCCCACATCTTTCTTTTATCACACTATCCACTATAACCATTGTATTTGTCATTCTGATACTATTTATTTTTCTCACATATATACATATGTATATGAATTTTTGACATAAAATACTATTATACTTCTATTCTCTTTTGCTGTCTGATTTTTTCCACTGAGGAATTTGTCTTGACTATTTTCTCCCATCGATTTATATTATAACATATTAGCTGCATTATATTGTTATAGCTATGTCTTAATTTTTTTTTTCTTTGAGACAGTCTCTCTCTGTCCCCTAGGCTGAAGTACAGTCGTGCGATCTTGGCTCACTGCAACCTCTACCTCCTGGGTCTAAGCAATTCTCCTGCCTCGGCCTCCTGAGTAGCTAGAACTACAAATGCCCGTCACCATGCCTAGCTAATTAAAACAAAAAATTTTAGTAGAGATGGGATTTCACCATATTGGCCAGACTGGTCTTGAACTCCTGACCTCAAGTGATCCACCTGCCTTGGCCTCCCAAAGTGCTGGGACTACAGGTGTGAGCCATGGCACCTGGCCTTTTTTTTTTTTTTGAGAGGAGTCTTGTTCTGTCTCCCAGGCTAGAGTGCAGCGGCGCGATATCGGCTCACTGCAACTTCTGCCTACCAGGTTCAAGTGATTCCCTTACCTCAGTCTCCTGAGTAGCTGGAATTACAGGCACCCTCCACCACGCCCGGCTAATTTTTGTATTTGTAGTAGAGACAGGGTTTCCCCATGTTGGCCAGACTGGTCTCGAACTCCTGACCTCAGGTGATCCACCCACCTCAGTCTCCCAAAGTGTTGGGATTACAGGCATGAGCCACCTCACCTGGCTACCTTAATTTTTTAAATAACTTCTTTATTAGCCGGGCGTGGTGGCTCATGCCTGTAATCCCAGCACTTTGGGAGGCTGAGGTGGGTGGATCACGAAGTCAACAGATCGAGACCATCCTGGTCAACAAGGTGAAACCCGTCTCTACTAAAAACACAAAAATTAGCTGGGCATGGTTGTGCACACCTGAATCCCAGCTACTTGGGAGGCTGAGGCAGGAGAATTGCTTGAACCCAGGAGGCAGAGGTTGCGGTGAGCCGAGATTGTGCCATTGCACTCCAGTCTGCTGGGTAACAACAGCAAAACTCCGTCTCAAAAAAAATTAAAAAAAAAAAAAACTTCTCTATTGGTGGACATTTAAATTGTTTCTAAATGGCCCCTCTACTGTGTAAATACACATGTAACTAAGTTTTTGCATATATCTCTAATATAGTTTCTTGGGACAAATTTCTAGAAGTGGATTGCTGGATCAAAGGGTGGGCACATGACTTTATATACTTTACTATTTATATATATAATTGCATAAATTAATTATTATTTATTACAGTCATTTTTTTTTATCTGCTCTCATTAAAATATAAGCCCATTAGGGCAGGGAATCTTTGTTTGATATGCTTGGCACATAGTAAGCCCTCAATATTTCTTACATGAGTAAATGGGTATGTTTTTAGTTTTTAATATACACTGTTAATTATCTTTTAGAGAAGCTACGGCAATTTATACTGTAGTTCCTTCATATGTCATTTATCCTGGCTGTTAGTGTAAAATACAAAAAAAAAAAAAAAGATACACACTAAAATGTTCAGAAGAAAACTGAAACCTTTCTTAATTTCACCTCCCCGAGATAGGTTAAGTGTATATTCTCACAGATTTAAAATGTGAAATCATTATTTTAATTTACTTTTATTACTTGGGTGATTGAGTTTTTCAAACATATTATTAATAAGCATTTGCATCTCATTATTACAAAATTCTAAAATCATTTGTTATTTTTTCTTTTGTGGATTTTAAACAGTCTCCTAAATTAGGCTTTGGGAATTTTGATATTCAAATGAAAAACCTGAGGATGTTATTAAAATATAGATTCTGATTTAGTAAGTCTGAGAAAGGGCCTGAGATTCTGCATTCCTAACAGGTTTGAGCTGATTCCAATGATGGTCCAGGTATCGTACTTTGAGAAACAAGCACCTAGGTCATATGTCATTACTCTGAGTTAATTTCCAGGTGAATGACTTCTTGAGAAGAAAGCAAAAGGAAACAGTCTATGCTCACTCAGCCTGCAGAGTACTCTATACTGTTTTTTTATTCTTACACAATTTTAAAACAAAGTATCCTTCTCCCAGAACAATGAAAGTGGACTATTTTAATTTGATTGCTTAATATAACTGTATAAAATTACTTAGCTTCAATATTGATCTAAGTATCTAAATTCAGAAAGAATAATGTTGAAGCAATTTATAATTTTCTTTATTGGTGGATCAGATGTTTGATTCCATCTCTTAAAGGCTCTATCTCCTAAAAAGAAAAAACTTAGGTCGGGTGTGTTGACTCACGCCTGTAATCCCAGCACTTTGGGAGGCTGAGGCGGGCAGATCATGAGATCAGGAGTCGAGACCATCGTGGCCAACATGATGAAACCCCATCTCTACTAAAAATACAAAAATTAGCCGAGTGTGGTGGCGCACACCTGTAGTCCCAGCTACTCTAGAGGCTGAGGCAAGAGAATCGCTTGAACCTGGGAGGTGGAAGTTACAGTGAGCTGAGATCATGCCACTGCATTCCAGTCTGGCAGCAGAGGGAGACAAAGAAAAAGAAAAAACTTAAAGACTCCATCATGGCTGGGCGCGGTGGCTCACGCCTATAATCCCAGCACTTTGGGAGGCCGAGATGGGTGGATCACAAGGTCAAGAGATCGAGACCATCCTGGTCAACATGGTGAAACCCCATCTCTACTAAAAATACAAAAATTAGCTGGGCATGGTGGCGCATGCCTGTAGTCGCAGCTACTCGGGAGGCTGAGACAAGAGAATTGCTTGAACCCAGGAGACGGAGGTTGCGGTGAGCCGAGATCACGCCATTGCACTCTAGCCTGGGAAACAAGAATGAAACTCCATCTCAAAAAAAAAAAAAAAAAAAAAAGACTCCATCTCTTAAAAAAATGATGTGTGGTTATTATTTTTGATAGGTTTATCTTTTAGTCTTCTTACTGAAGATATGAGTGGTTTACATACCACAGTTACAGCATCAAAGTATTCTATATTAGGCTGTATATTTACTGTTACCAGTGAGTTTTATACTTTCAGATGATTTCTTTTCTTTCCTTTTTTTTTGAGATGGGGTCTTGCTCTGTCGTCCAGGCTGCTGGAGGGCAGTGGCTCAATCACGGCTTACTGTTACCCTTGACATCCCGGGGTCAAGCAATCTTCTGCCTCAGCCTTCCAAGTAGCTGAGACTGTAGGCACACAGCAATACGCCCAGCTAATTATTAATTTTTTTTTTTGTAGAGACTGGGTCTCACTTTGTTGCCTAGGCTGGTCTTGAACTCCTGGCTTCAAGCAATCTTCCTGCCTCGGCCTACCAAAATGTTGGGATTACAGGCGTGAACCACTGTGCCCAGCCTTCTTATTGCTCATTAACATCCTTTCCTTTCAGATTGAAGAACTTCCTTTAGCATTTCTTTATAGGACAGGTCTGATGTTGATGAAATCCCTCAGTTTTTGTTTGTTTGGGAAAGTCTTTACTTCTTCTTCACATTTGAAGGATACTTTTGCTGGACATAATATTCTAGGATAAAATTTTTTTCCTTTAGCATTTTGAATATGTCATGCCACTTTCTCCTGGCCTTAAGATTTCCACTGAGAAATCTGCTGCTGGACATACTGGAGCTCCTTCGTATGTTGTTTCTTTTCTGTTGTTGCTTTTTTTTGAGATGGAGTCTCCCTCAGTCGCCCATACTGGAGTGCAGTGGCCCAATCTTGGCTCATTGCAACCTCCGCCTCCCAGGTTGAAGCAATTCTCTTGCCTCAGCTTCATGAGTAGCTGGGATTACAGGTGCATGCCACCATACCCAGCTGAATTTTTTTGTGTGTGTATTTTTAGTAGAGACAGGTTTAACTGTGTAGCCTGGATGGTCTTGATCTCCTGACCTCATGATCCACCCACCTTGGACTCCCAAAGTGCTGTGATTACGGGCGTGAGCCACCATGCCCAGCCTCTCTTGTCGCTTTTAAGAGCCTTTCTTTATCATTGACCTTTGGGAATTTGATTAATAAATGCCTTGAGATGGTCTTATATGAGTTAAAACTTCTTGGTGTTCTATGACCTCCTTGTACCTGAATAGTGATATATTTCTTTAGGTTAAAAAATTTTCTATTATTATTTTTTTGAATAAACTTCCTACCCTGATCTCTCTCTGTACCCCCTCTTTAAGGACAATGACTCTTAGATTTGCCCTGTTGAGGCTGTTTTCTAGATTTTGTAGGTGTGCGTCATTCTTTTTTTTTTTCCCCCTTTTTTCTCCTCTGACTGTATATTTTCATATAGATGGTTTTTAAGCTCACTAATTCTTTCTTCTACTTAATCAGTTCTGCCCTTGAGGAACTCTAATGCATTTTTTGGTTTGTTAATTTTATCTTTCAGCTTTCAGAATTTCTGCTTTGTTTTTTAAAATATTGTAATGTCTTCAGCAAATTTCCGTGATAGGAATCTGAATTCCTTTTCTGTGTTTTCATGAAGTTCATTGAGCTTCCTCAAAACAGCTATTTTGAATTCTCTGTCTGAAAGTTCACATATCTCTGTCACTCCAGCAATGGTCACTGGTGCCTTATTTAGTTCATTTGGTGAGGTCATGTTTTCCTGGATGTTCTTGAGGCTTGTGGATGTTTGTCAATGTCCGGGCCTTGAGGAGTTAGACATTTATTCTAATCTTTGTAGTCTAGGCTTGTTTGTACTCATCTTTCTTGAGGAGGCTTTCCAGGTATTCAAAGGCAATTGAGGGTTGTGATAGAAGTCCTTGGTCATTGTAGCCATATCTGCACTAGGAGGAACTCCAAGCCCAGTAATGCTGCAACTTTTGCAGACTTGCGTGGCCTTGGTGGGCTTGGGTAAGAACTGGGAGAATTCTCTGGATTACCAGGCAATCTTTTGTTTTCTTCCCTCACTTTTCCCCAAGCAGAAGGAGCCTCTCTCTCTCTTTGCTGGCCTGCCTGGATATGTGAGAGAGGTGACACCTAAATTCAGCATGGTACTAGGTGTTGTCCAAGGTCTGTGGTGACTACTGCCTGGCTACTGCTGATGTTTATTCAAGGCCCAAGGGCTCTTTGGTCAGCAGATAGTGAATCTTGCCAGGACATGGTCTTTCTGTTCAACACAGCAGGTTCTCATCTGGCCTAGGCTGGGTCTAGAAATGCCATCCAGGAGGGAGGGCCTGGATTCAGAGGCTTCGGGAATCTGCTTGGTACTTTATTTTACTGTGACTGAGCTGGTATCCAGGTGGGAAAACAAAGTCCTCTTTACTTTTCTCTCTTCTTTCCACAATAGGAAAATGTCTCTCCTGGAGCTGCACCACACCTGGAGAGTTGGGGGATGGGGGATACAAGTACTCCCTTGGCCACCACAGCTGGTGCCTCACTGGGTTGTGTGCACTCCATTTCTGCTGCCTCTGAGCCCAGCACAGTACCCAGATTTGCCCAAGGACTACAGTCCTTGTGGCTTGACTGCCTTTCAAGTTTATTCAGGACCCAAGGGCACTTCTTTAGTCAGCTGGTGCTGGAGCTAGCTGGAACTCAGGTTCCTACCACTGGGGCAGAGGATTCCCTCTGGCAAGGGTCAGCTTAAATGTCCCTCTGTGGGTACGGGCAGAATTCTGCCCTGTGTTGTGTTCCGATGTGACAGAGCATCACTGAGTTCCAATGCAAAGTCCTACAGTCATTTGGCTCTCTCCCACAAGTACACAAATTCTCTCTTCCACAGAATGGGGGAGGGGTGGTGTAGGCAATGAAGTACTGTGTTTTCTACCCTTTTTAGTGCCTCTTTCCTTGATATGATGTTAAAACCAGGTAGTGTGATCACTCATCTGATTTTTGATTCTTATAAAAGTGCTTTCTTGCGGGAATAGTTGCTCAATTTGGTGTTCTGTGGGAGAAGGGGTGGATGATTACTGGAGGGTTCTCTTTGGCCATCTTGCTCTACCTTCTCCAAAAAAGGGGCTTGTTATGAATAACAACAGGTATTCTTTTTACTTTATCACTCTAGAGCTGTTTCAGGAGCCGGAGATAAAAACAAAATGTTATAACAATATGCTCCTATTACTGTTATCACTTACACAATTACAAGGATTTTAAGAGCTCTGATCAATAGGGACAAAGACCAAAATATGTATTTCTTACATCACTGTATCAGATACCATTTCCATTTTTTTTTTTTTTTTTGAGATGGAGTTTCGCTTTTGTTGCCCAGGCTGGAGTGCAATGGCGCGTTCTCGGCTCACCGCAACCTCCGCCTCCTGGGTTCAGGCAATTCTCCTGCCTCAGACTCCTGAGTAGCTGGGATTACAGACATGCGCCACCATGCCCAGATAATTTTTTGTATTTTTAGTAGAGATGGGGTTTCACCATGTTGACCAGGATGGTCTTAATCTTTTGACCTTGTGATCCACCCGCCTCGGCCTCCCAAAGTGCTGGGATTACAGGCTTGAGCCACTGCTCCCAACCCTCCATTTTTGTTAATAAGGCCACTTTAAAAATCTTAACTGAAAGTGTACCCATGTGTCTATTTCACATTAACATCTATTTCCCTGCAGGCCCGGGTCCTTTTTGCACTGATCGTGCTGATCCAGCTCATCGTTCTCATTACCTTTAGATATCGAGGATACCCAGAGCTTAAAGGTTAGTTATGGTTCCTTTTATTCCTGTAAGTCTTGTTCATGAAAAAACCAAACTCTGTCAAATGTTTTAAAGGGGTTTATTCTGAGCCAACATGAATAACCATGGCCCAGGGGAAACACAAGCCCAAGAAGCCTTGAGTGAATGGTCCTGAGGCAGCTGGATCACAGTTGGGTTTTACACATTTTATGGGGGCAGGAGTTATAGGAAAGGACATAAATCAATACATGGAAGGTATGCATTGCTTCAGCCCCAAAAGTTGAGGTATCTTGAAGTGGAGGCTTACAGGTTATACGGGGATTCAGAGATTCTTTAATTTGCAATTGGTTAAAGGAGTGAGGCTCTGCCTAAAACTTTTCAGTAGAAAGGAATGTTTACATTAAGACACAGATGCTATGTCAGCCAAAATATAGGGGTGAAAAATGACCTGTTTAGCAAGATTGATGTCTTGCAGGCATTAGATCTTGTTTATAATTTGGTATCTTTTTGCGACAGAGTCTGTTTTGTGAGTCTTATGATCTCTATTTTAACACTAATGATAGCCTGTTGTTGTGCCCAAACTCTAAAAAGGAGGTAGTATGATGAGGTGTGTCTGACCTCCCTTTTCATAGTGGCTGAGAATTTAATTTTTAAGGTTTCTTTGGGGTACCTTTGACCAAGAGAGGGTCTCTTCAGTCAGTGGGGAGCTTAGGGTTTTATTTTTATTTATAGACTTTAAGGTATCACATAAGATCTCCTCTATTACCAATTGATAAATAGTAATATAGATTGTCTTTGCATGAACTCTGTGAGGTGCATCCTTCAAACTATCATACTTTTCCAATAACTCTTTCCTTGGGAAAAAAAAATTCAGATTTTTGCTGCTATATGGCAATAAAATAAAACTCAAGCAAAATGGGAGACAATTTCACGGTATAGCACAAGATGACCAACTTTTACTCCACATAGGTATTTAATGTAATTTTCACATATAAAATACTTTTAAATAGAAAAGAGCCTATTCAAATAAAGATAAAGCACTAAAAAAAGCTTGACAAAACTTAAATAGTGCATATATAAATTTTGAATTAAATATACAGCAGAGGCTATAGAAAAGTTGTAAAGAAGGTGACTTTGTCTGGTGCTGCTGTCAACCAAAAGAATAAGACATCAGAGAAAAATATTTCCTGATATGATGAGTTTATTTGGGAGTAAGCAAAAAGGATTATAATCTGGGAAGTACAGTATGGCAAGGCAAAGGTGCATTTGAAGAGGGGACAGTAGAAAAAAGTTTGATTGGCAGAAAGGAGAAGTTCACATAAGCTGCTTAAAACTTTGCGTCAACAGTTTAGAGTTCATTGGTTCCAGAAGCTCAAAGCTAGAATTGGCATCAGTTTATTGGTGGAGATGCTATTAACAAGTGTTCTTTTGAGGGCTTTTTATCTGAATTACTGCAGCATTAAAGAGGAAATTTTGTGTGGGATTATTTTAGAAAGTCTCTGAGTTAGTCCTTAACTTACACATGCAAGCACGAATGCTTCTTCATACTTTCCAAGCTCTAATTTGGGTCTCTCAAGAGTGATTTTATCCTGATATCTGCAACTTTCACATTTCCCCCTTTTGATCAAGATCTTTCTCCAAAAGCATCACTGATCATTCAGCTTGTAATCAGGTTTTAAGTGTCCATTTGCACAAAGATAGACCGGTCCCCGTTATTTTTTTTTTGGCGGGGGGGAGGGAGGGAGGGAAGGGAAGGAATTCAAGCAATGAGAGAGACATTGCCCACCTGGATCTAGAGGTTTACAAGTTGATTTCTTTTTTTTTGAGTGAAGGAAAGAAGAAAAAAATGAGTAAAGGAGAGGAAGAAAGAGGAAGAGAAAGAGGGAGAGTGAATGGAAATATTGCTTTATTCTGAAAAAAATACGGGTATTAATAATGGCCAATCAATGTTTCATTTAAACCTATGAGTAGGTGTGATTTGGTATTGACTAGAATGATTATTTTGTGTATTTGTAGTGGAGAGTGTCGGGGTCCGGCACGTCTGCCGGGGGACTACCGACCTGCGGGAGTCCCCGAGACCGCCAACGTAGATGTCTCGTTCAACCTGAGAGAGAGAGTGCGCGGAAAAGAAAGAATATAGAAAAGTAGAGTCTGGAGGGCTGCGTGAAGATTATGGCCAAAACACAGCAAATTTATTTTTGTGGGTTACAGCTTTTATACCTTTTGTCTTGTTTACATTTACCTTATCTCAACAGAAAGAAACAAAGGGGAAGACAGAAAGGAAACAGAAACTCCATTAAATAGATATCCGGGGCTTGTGATATCCTGCTCAGGAAGCAGTTTAAGGGGGTTAGTGGTAGTAGTTTACATTTCAATGATTTTACATTCCAAAGATACAATGGCGCCCTTAAGGTGGCTGGTTAAACCTGTTTTTCATCGGGAGCTAAAACAAAGGCTTGGCTCCAGGGAAAATATGGGCAGAGGTCTCTGCTCCTCTTAGACATTTCAATTGCAGCAAGTTTATTGCTTACACAGAGACTGAAGGGGGACATGGAAGCAGACAGCACAATGTCCTCATAAACTGCAGGCCTTTGCTTTGCATTCTGTTGTTGCTTTTAGTGAGTCAGCTTACGGCCCTGTCTCACTCGACAGCCCTCGAGGTGAGGAAATGCAGTACAGGTCCAGCAGCCAAACTGAGGCAAGTCATGAGCCCTTGGCGCAAACACCACAGGAGAGCTCTATAAATATTTATTAAGTTTACTTGTTCCGGATCTGAGTTCGAGTCCTTGATATCCTTATTAATTTTCTGTCTCATTGTGTCTAAGTCTCTATGTATCTGGGTGTTAGGATCGTTAGCTCTTGTTGTTGCATTGATCCTTTTACCACTATACCTTTGTTGCTTTAAAATCTATTTTATTTGATACGAGAATTGCAACTCCTGCTTTTTATTTATTTATTATTTATTTTTGCTCTCCATTTGGTTGGTAAATCTTTCTCCATCCCTTTGTTTTGAGTCTTTGTGTATCCTTGCATGTGAAATAGGTCTGGATGTAACATGCCGTTGGGTTTTGGCTGTGTCTTTTGATTGGGGGATTTAGTCGATTTAAATTTAGGGTTACTGCCATTTGATGTTAGCTGGCTGTTTTATCCATTCGTTGGTGTAAATTCTTCTTTATGTTGGTGCTCCTTACTTTTTGGTATATTTTTAGAAGGGCTGATACTGGTTGTTTCTTTCTGTGTGTAATGCTTCTTTCAGAAGCTCTTGTAAAGCAGGCCTGGTGGTAATAAAATCTCTGAGTACTTGCTTGTTCATAAAAGATTTTATTTTTCCTTCAGTTGTAAAGCTTAGTTTGGCTGGATATGAAATTCTGGGCTGAAGGTTCTGTTCTTTGAGGATGTTGAATATTGGCCCCCACTCTCTTCTGGCTTGTAGAGTTTCTGCTGAGGGATCTGCTGTAAGTCTGATTGGCTTGCCTTTGTGAGTAACCTGACCTTTCTCTCTGGCTGCCCTTAGTATTTTCTCCTTCATTTCAACCCTGGTGAATCTAACGATTATGTGCCTTGGGGTTGCTCTTCTTGAGGAATATCTTTGTGGTGTTCTCTGTATTACATGGGGTTGAATATTGACCTGCTTTGCTAGTTTAGGAAAATTTTCCTGAATAATTTCCTGAAGGGTATTTTCCATCTTGGATTCATTCTCTCCGTTGCATTCAGGTACACCTATCAAATGTAGATTTGGTCTTTTCACATAGTCCCACATTTCTTGGAGACTTTGCTCATTCCTTTTTATCCTTTTTTCTCTAATCTTTTCTTCGCGTTTTATTTCATTAAGTTGGACTTTGACCTCTGATATCCCTTCTTCTGCTTGAACAATTCGAGTGCTTAAACCTGTGCAAACTTCTCGGAGTTCCTGTATTGTATTCTTCAGTTCCATTATTTCACTCATACTCCTCTCTAAGTTGTCTATTCTCAATAGGATTTCATCAAACTTTTTTACAAAGTTCCTAGTTTCTTTACATTGGGCTACAACATGTTCTTTTAACTCACTGAAGTTTGTTATTATCCATTCCCTGAAGCGATATTCTAGCATTGGGATGCGATCGTTCTCCATCAAGCCTTGTTCCATTGTCGATTTGGAACTGTGATCATCTTTAGAGGGAGAGGCGTTCTGACTTTGAGTATTCTCAGCTTTTTTACGCTGGTTTCTTCCCGTCATTGTAAGTTTACCCTCCTGTGGTCTTTCAATTTACCAACTTTCAGATTAGGTCTCTTGAGTGGGCGTCCAGGTTGTTAGTTCCCAGGGCCAGAGCAGCGGCATTAAAACTGATGGTGCTTTTCTGCCCAGGATTCTCTTGTCTGGCTTCCTTCTTGTGTCCGTAGTGGGCGACTCTGCCTTCCCGGGGCTCCAGACCTCGATCAGAAGGGGAGCCAGTCCCGTTTACTCTGCGCGAGCGCTGCCGCGCCGAGGTGCCATCACAGCTGCTGCCGGGCTCTGGTGTTGTCCTGGGGGCCCTTGTGGGTCCTCCAAACCTGTTTACTCTGCTCCGGGAGCTGCCACGCCGAGGCGCCAGCGGAACCGCTGCGCCGGCCACGAAAGTCGCGCTGGCAACCCCTGTGATTCCTCCACTGGGGATCTTCTGCTCCGTGAGCGACCAGAATTTGTCTGAAAGTGTGGCGTCGTCTAGTTTTCGGCACCTTCACTGAGAGCTGCAGTCCTGAGATGTTAGCGATCGGCCATCTTGGATCGGACTTCCCGGTCCCCGTTATTTAGTCTTGTTCCCATCAGGGGGAGGTGTTTATCAGCTGGATGACAGTGTCAAGACCTTTTTAGTTGCATGAGAAGCCCTCAGGCTTAGCCTATGTGGATTTCATCATTAAAATTGATTCTGTTTCGTAGGCATTGGCTATTATTTCAATACACTGGACCAACATCACTTAGGATGTTGCCTTCTGCACGGATTTGACAGACAGCAGGTACACATTTGTTTAAAGGATAATACAAAGTAAAACTAATCGAGGTATGA